GACCAACTGTGCTGTTTATCTGTTAGTTGGGATTTTTGTATGATCAGAGATGGAAAGGGGTCCAGACAAGTAACCGAGACTGAAGACGCCGATTAGATACATGCGGACTCGGCGTTTCATGCGCAGATTCCAGACGATAGGGATCGGGATAGTTGCGAAGAGGACATCGGTGAAGATATTGAAGGCTGTCACTGGGTTGGCGGAGAGTTTCTTGGATACGCGTGGTCATTGTGGAGACATACATGTATTTATCAGAGCGAAGATGACGAATAAATGTACCGGGTAGCACTTCGCGTCCTCGATGCGCGTATCCCAATGTGCTTGCATTGGTTTGCAGTGGAGGAAGAAAGTCATCGCGGCCATGAAGCTGTATGCTGCGACAAATGCTATATAAGTCTTTATTAGCCTGCGACTTTGTCTCATTGGCAAAGGAGAAGACTGGCATACCAATACTTGTCCATAAAGACATGGTGTACCATCGGGTCGGGCTGAACCTCAGCAAATTCAACGCGATAGATATCTTGAGCAAGGCGATCCCGGTAGCGGAGCAGATAATGACCTGCCAGAACGCCGCTTCGCTCAACTTCATTCTATCCATCTTGTCTAGGAATTGGATGTGGTGGCCCAGGCCGTGACATGCTTTGTAGATGTAGAGAGCCCAGCCGCCAAGGGAACAGAGCTGCGCAAGGTTCGTTAGTGACTCTGCGCTGCGCAACGTAGTGAACTGAGCTCATTCGAAGTATTCGATACATGGTGACGCTCAAGGTAAGAACATGTAAAGAGAAGCGCATACCGCCGCGAGAGCCATAGTCCAGTCATCGCACCCGGAACTCCTGACAATTTTCATCCGAACATATAGACGGAGACAGACAACAACAACGGCCAAGACCGTCAGTGCCGTCTGTACCCCGATAATGATACCAAGATGGCTCTCATCAGCCACCACATCTCTGGTATTGCCCGTAGTTGTCGGCATTTAAGGAGGGATTGAGGGTGGTACAGGAACCGACATTGAAGGCGTGGCAAGTGAGAAGATACACCTCATCATCGGAGATGTGTAACTAGGGCCAACAGTGCTTCTTAGGTTGTCGCAGGAATTTAGATTAGAGGGAGGTGGCCTTGCAGAGAGGCATGTGCGAATGGTCATTACAATTGATGCGACGTACTCCGAGTAGGCATGAAATTAATCAAAGTTTTCCGGCCGCGTTCTGGTTTGCTTAGCACAGGCTTGGATTCAGATCCTTGTCATTGATTGGATTTCTACATGTGTAAGTCGCTATCTGCGATGTAGCCGCGTCGAGGACGTCGAGGAAACGCTATCTGGAACCTAATCACACAATATTTGGATTCTAGTTTGTGATATGCCGGCACACAGGTAAACAGCACGGCACAATTGTTTAGACTGAGGGTATTTGACTCGGGTTTTGCTGGGGAAAGAGGACTGACACTTTGCGTAGAGGTAATATATATGGCAATTTAGAAAGCCCTACCCTGCCATCTCCGACGCCAATGAGAAAACGCTTCTCGAGCCTAGTTACCTAATTTTGGCCCCATGGGCAATAATTATCATCCAAAGATCTTTCACCGTATGTTGCCGTCTACTTATCTCGGTCCGAGCTTCCCCGGTGTCAATGCACCAGAGTGGATCCACTGCCATGGCCGGTCTATGGCGCTGTTGTGCTCTGGAGTCCACGCCATGATCCGACTGTCTCGGATTCCGCGGGACAGAACACGGTTCATTATGCGGCCAAGCATATCGAGACATGCAACGATAGGGTAGAATAACGGCACTAATATTGATCCCTGTCAGGGGTTGTTAGCCCATAATAGCCTAAAAACTGCTCGAAATTACCGCACCCTACGTACTAGACAGGGTTTAGACAAGGCCCCCACGCTACTTATGTGAAGGCTGGTCCCATTGTTTCACCATACTATAAACTAAGATGCCGCTTAACGAATATATATGGCCTGGGGGCAGGCGGTACTGTCGAGTTAGGACACTATGCGCTTAGTATTATGGAGCGCTCGTTAGCGACCTATTGCCCTCAAGATATCGGCAGTCGACCATGGACGAGACTGCCGTTCACAATGAAATATAATATAGTCCGGGTCGCCCCCTGTGACAATTATATAGCTCCTGCTGCTACCTTCTGGTCAATTAGCTCCTCGCATTGAACCTAGCGATAGGCGGTGCCTCTGCTTGCAAAAATTGAATTTCCAGCTTCTTGGGAAGAGGCATACTTGTCAATATGCTATCTCTGACAACATCCATCTTCGGCCTCTTAGCTGCGGTGCCACTGGTCGCAGCGGGCTCATCACCAAATGTCCTCTATAAAGATGTCGTGGTTGTGGGTGGCGGTGCCTCTGGTGCCTACGCTGCCGTTCGTATCCGGGACGACTTTGGCAAGAGCATCGCCCTGATTGAGAAGCAGGATATCTTGGTGAGCAAACGAAACCATTCGCATCAAGCACAGAAACATGCCACAATGACAGGTAAACGCTGACGCATTTTTCATGGGTAGGGTGGCATGGTTGACTCATACACCGATCCTAAGACCGGCAAGCCCTATAACTATGGTGTGATGACGTTCCTCGAAGCTGGAAACGCAACAGGTTTCTTCGATCGCTTTGGCATTCCCGTTGCAGCCCCATCGATGGTCAGTGTCTCCACGGACTACATCGACTTCAAGACCGGAAAACCAGTCAATTTCACACTGCCTCCCATGGCAGACCAGATGGCCGCGATGGCCAAATTTCTCGAGATTGTGGAGCCGTGGGAGCATCTCATGCAGCCTGGCTACGGCAACTTCCCAGAGCCAGACGCAATCCCGGAGGACCTTCTGATCCCCTATGGCGACTTTATCACCAAATATGGCTTGGAAGCCGCTATCCCGCTGATGTATCAGTCCACCGGTCTAGGACTGGGAAACATGGTCAAGGAAACTACCATGTTCGTGCTGCAGGGTTTCGGCGCCTCCATGGCGCGTGCGATGGTGGGCAAGCAAAATCAACTCGCGCCCTCCTCGGGTCGGAACCAGGACTTGTACGATGCCATCGCGGAGGATCTCGCCGGCGACGTTCTGTACTCCAGCACGGTAATTGAGAGCCACCGCGGCAACTCCAGCGTCATCCTCACGGTCAAGAACCACAAGACGGGTGAAACCACTCGGATTCACGCTCGGCGTCTCTTACTCGCCATCGAGCCAACTGCAGCCAACATGGCCCCGTTCGACTTAGACCGTAATGAGAAGAACGTTCTCTCCAGATTCACCTACACCAACGAGTACACCGGTATCGTGAACAACGCGGCCTTCGCCGTCAACCAGTCCTATTTCAACCTGCCCCAAACAGCCGCGCCGAACAACTACCTCGCCCTGCCCGACGCTTCTTTCACAGCTCGCATTGACTACATCGGCGGCGACGACCTCTTCCGAGTAACGATTGTCGGCAACAGCACTCTCGACACAGCGGGTGCCAAGAGACTGGTCCAGAACGACTTCAACACTCTGCTGCGTTCGGGTCGCCTGGCGGAGACGAGCGACGGCGAGCCGCTGAGCTGGGTGGACTTTTCCACCCACGGCCCCATGCATGCGCGCGTTTCGGTCGCGGATGTCAAGGCTGGCTTCTTCCAGAAGCTGAACGCGCTGCAGGGTGGTCGGTCGACCTGGTGGACTGGCGGTGCTTTTTCGGTTAACTTCCAGACGACGTTGTGGGAGTTTGACGAGCTTCTTTTCCCCGAGCTCCTCAAGGGGCTGAACTAAAAGGATTACCTGGGGATGTGATTCAGGTTGCTACAGATGTATACGAAGCATCTAGCAGGTGTGTCAGAGCGCTTCATGTTGTATAGAATTAGGCTAGCGAGTAGCATAATTGTGGAGGATTGAACGAATGATCTGTATATAGTATATTCAATGCACTGAAGTTTAGTTAGAATGTTTTGGCTTAGGAATGTGGGAACTTGGTCATGGTTGCATCTTCAGGTTTAGACTCAACTGCTTATCCAGGTTTTCAACTGGATGAAAACACTTGATGATACTTCACGCATCCATTCTATCACAAAGCCTACGCAATTCTCTAAATAGCATCTGACAGACAGGATGCGCTGCAGTCACGAACTGTCATATACTAGATTCTTCCGTGTTTGGATTAAATTGTTTGATTTTTAGCGGGGTGGTTGCTAACATCTGGCATTATAGACCAAAGGGGAGGCTCCAACGGACTGATGTTTCTTCAGTCTTTGCGGTCATTCCTAAGGGGGAAAACTACGACGCCTACTGCTTTTTACGAATGCGCGACAAGCCAGACTTTGAGAACAAGGCACATCTAGTGGCCACCAGCCCTGACCACCCGTCCTTGAGTCATGGCCAGCACGCCTGTCCGGGCCGCTTTTTTGCTGCAAACGAGATGAAGGTGGCCCTCTGTTACTTGCTTTTGATATACGATTGGAAGCTAGCGTCGGGCTGTACTGTGGATCCGGCTGTGGCTGGGGTTTATCGAAGCCTTAATCCGACGACTCGGCTTTTGTTCCGACAGCGCCAGGAAGAGATCCCATTGACGTCGTTGGGTTTCGACAAAGAGGTGCTACAGTAGCGATGTATAGAACTCTCGTCGTACTGTATACTGGTGTCGGAGACAGTAAGCTAGGCGAACAAGATCTACGCTCGTTCGTCGCAAGCCTCGTCTTATGCATGAATCTTGTACCTCTTCTGGCTTACAACTTTTTGCCTGTGGGCAGCTTGGCTGAAAGGTTATCAGCAAAGCAATGTCTGTATTCTTATAACTCTCAGGTTGTATTGAAATACTTTTGACTACTGGCTTATCTCTCCAGTCTGATATGCTGGCGTGCACGATCCTCTACCCCTCACATTGTTTTTCACGATGGGGCTTAGCCGCGATCAGCTGATGATGCGATCTGATATTAGGCCACCCACTTAGCACCTTTTTCTCTCGACTCCTCCCAAGCTTTTCGGAGTTCAAAATCGAAACCCTAAGCTATCATGATGGAAAGCCAGCCTGATCCAGCCACCACAGAAAATGATTCTAGCAGAGAGGAAGGGCATATACAGAGTGAAACAACACCGCTCCTGCAAAAGCGTGCCAGCGACGTCACAGGCAAGATAATCAGCACGAATTTCGCCCTTCTGATTGTCGGTCTAAACGGTACTTAGACATTGCTGCTCACGCGTCTTCAACCCGAGGACTAATGATAAGCAGACGCCGCTTTGGGAGTCTTAATCCCCTACATTCGACCAACCTACGGCGTCACCCTCTTCCAGCTCTCCCAGATCTACCTTGTAAACTGTGCCGGCTGTCTCACAGCTTCGTTCTCCAATATCCATGTGTGCTCACGCATCGGCACGGGCGGTACATTGGTGCTAGGAGCAGTGATCCAAATATGTGGGTTCTTATTGATGTACTGGAATCCGCCCTATGGACTATTTGTCGCTGCCTTCTTCTTACTTGGCATGGGGAGTGCCTATCAAGATGCTCAGGCGAATACATTCACAACAACCGTGGACAATGCGCATCGCTGGCTGGGAATTTTGCATGCAGTCTATGGCGTCGGGACAATTATCTCACCTATCGTGGCTAATGTGATCGCCTCGCGGACGCCAGTCTGGCAGGACTTTTACTTCGTGATGCTGCTATTGGCGCTGTTAAATCTCTGCCTTTTAAGGTGGACGTTCCGAGAAGGTCTATTCCAGCCTAACAAGAGAAACGCTAGCGGCACAGCCGGCAAGGAATTGAAGGCCACGCTATCCAATAAATCGGTTTGGATTCTAGGCGGGTTCTTCTTCTTGTATGTCGGCGCGGAGGTCACGTTCGGCGGTGAGTAATTTTCTCATGGGCCCAATCAGCACTACAAACCCGGGAAAGGACATATTAACGATGTTAGGCTGGATGGTTCAATTCATCGTCTCCGTAAGAAACGGTGATCCAAAAGTAGTAGGCTACATAGCTTCCGGATTTTGGACGGGGTTCACACTAGGCCGTGTGGCTCTCGCAGATATCACGCACTATTTCGGAGAGCGTCGGATGGTGTTTGTTTACCTCGTCTTAGCAATTACCATGCAGCTCGTCTTCTGTATGGTTCCGAACATCATTATAATCGCTATCGCGGCTTTCTTATTAGGTAGGTTGTCTAAATCAGGTTGGTTCCTCGATCGGCTGACAGGTCAATGTACAGGATTCTTCATGGGTCCGTTCTATCCCATCGGACTCTATGTCCTTACCCAGGTGGTGCCGGAGGAACTTCGAATTGGCGCCTTAGGTGAGTGCTGTTTGTACGAAGAGCTTTGAATACATGTACTTATGTTTGTTGGCAGGGCTCTCGGCGAGTCTGGGCCAGGCAGGCGCCGCTGCCTTCCCTTTCATGACGGGCGCTATCGCTTCCCGGGCTGGTGTCCAGGTTATGCAGCCGATCATGCTGGGTTTACTTATTGGGATTGGTTTGTTCTGGGCTTCGCTTCCTAGACAACGGGCAATTAGTCTTTAGATCCTCTAGTACTCAGGTAATACCTCAGTGTGCTGTCGGATTAGGGGAGGATGAAATAATTTGGTAAAGATAACCTATTGGATAATAGTCGCGGTAAAAGACCGGATATCTATGGTGACCAACACACGTTCCACTAATAGCTATAGATTTCTAGGCTCAGTATTTAATATAATATTCATGCAGGTCCGACTCGGCCACGCTAGGAGACAACTAGGTAATTCATAATCGAGCATGACCTGCATCAAACGGCGATGGTTTGGGTGTCTTGCCGTGAACCAAATATTAGCCCAATTGAGTTGATGATTGATCCTTCTAGTCGGACGTATAGCCCCATGATGCGACACCCTGAGGGCGGCCGGAGGGTTCTGATGCTGTACCTGACGCAAAGTTCCAAAAGCCCATCTGGCTCGGAAGACAACTCGCGGTTGTAGTCGGTTCTGAACTTTGCACGGGTAAGAATAAGTCCCCCACATCTAACAAAAGCTTAATACCTACTGTCACCGCGAGAGGGTAAAGCTCAGATGTCCGCACATCGATTTCAGTCAGTATTTCATGCGGTGCATGTAAGGTCCATAGATGCTGGCACGATATGACAAGCACCAACAAAAAAGTATGCGACAATATCTGCGTGGAGAGTCCGAGGATACCGTGAAGGCCGCCAGCACTGTATATGTTGATGGCTTGCAGATCTTGTTCAAACCATAAAGCTTCGACGGGGAATTTGCCAAATCTGTCTACTAATGTTCTTTCTCGTTCAGGGTGTTGTTGTACGTACTGTTCTTCGGCAATGAATCTGTGGCTAGATAGGGACGGATGGTTATTTTTCATCAAAATGGTTTCTTCAAACAAAGGAGGCGTCTGCTGATGTCAGCTGAGGTCTCGAAGCTTAAACGCCTAATCTCTGTGAGTAATCGCCCTAGATAAAAGATAATACACTCACATCACGAACGATCCGAAGTCTCGCACAGTTCTGTCTGGGTCTGAGCCCTCCCCAACAGCAAAATGCGACATGTTTGTGGTTTTCCGATTTTCTAAACACAGGAATTCCTTGTCGTCCCTCCGTCCTTTGTAGAGAGGCTAGGTCATCAATCAAATGAGCATGTTGAATGCTCAGACAGGGCTTCCTAATACACTACTTTCATGCAGCAGTAGTGGTGTGACCAAGACGTTCCCGGAATTCCCAGATTTCCTTCATAACAGGAATGATCTTAAAGCCATCTGTTTTCAGGTCCCAGTAAGCCTCCTCTGCAGGATCATATAAGTTGCCCGAAAAGGTCCTATCCTCCAAGGTACTTGTCCTGGTGAACTCCAAATTATACTTATCCCTATCAGTAGAGCTGCCGCATGCCCATTGCCTGTGGTCTAGAAGAAGCAGCAACTAGCCCTTTGAAACTACCTACTATAAAAATTGCGTAAACATATCATATTCCACCTTCGCATTGTTGGTCAATTAATTTAAATAGTCCCTGGCCTTTTCTGGCAGTGTCATTTCTATAGATCGTCGTCGATGGTGTGTTCTAGACTCAATGTATACGCAGGGTATAGGAAATTACTAGCAGTTAACAGGTCTACACTATGGCCTGGAGCGATTAGAAAATATCTGAGAAAGAAAGATCGAGGTGTACTACTGTAACTCTAATCCGCTTCTAAGTGTTCTTACCTTGGAGCTGTATGTCAGCTGTACATACACTTTAGATTACTAGAAGTACTGTACTGCTCTACATTCAAGATCCATTCAGTATGTTTCTTTCTACCACTCAAAGCCATGTCTTCTCTTCTTGCAGCTATACATATCGCCTTTTTGTGGTTCACAACGCAAGGGCACTAACGCATCTCCTGAAGGTGTGTACATTCATGGCTTTCATGGAGATTGTATGCTTCCACCCAACCACCATGAGAGGCTTCGTCAACTTTGTCATCATATGGAAAGCTTAGTATTAGAGGGACGGTTTTTAGGGGTCGTCGTTTAATATAAAAATGGATTTTGGGTTAACTAAGAATATCTGCATCAATAACATAAACCAAGTATGAATCATCCTAGGAACCACTATACAAACTTTCGCACGCCCCTTTAAGAACAAATCAACGCAGAATATAAAATATATAAGAGGAATTAAAGTATTCTAACCATTAGGGCCGAGAGAGATTTTATGACCATGAATACCGCAGCCAGAGAACTTTAGTAGAGCGTGCACACGCTGATCTTCTATTATAAGAGCTATTTCTGCTATATTAGTAGAAATAGCTTCACTAGGAGTGTTCCTGCTTTCCATAAGCTCCTGAGCTCCCTGAACTGACGCCTATTTCTAAAACAATCTGTCTAGTAGAGTGCCTTTCTGGGCTAATGAGTGCTGCATTTCGGAGCTATTGACTTAACACAAATGGGACGATATGTGCTTTGAAGTATGACGGCTAAAAATTAGAGTTTACGGAGGAGATGAATGGAATTGCCACTAGTATTGTTTTAGTAGCCGGATAACCCCCAGATAATGACAATCCATTAGGTATCAAAAGTTGAGACATAAATCGGGCCAGTGCCCAACATCACGTGCACCATGTTGCCAGCTCAAAACCCCACTATGCTCCGTCTTAAGCATCCAACTACTGCAAAACACAAAGGAACGATTTATCGTGCCCCTAACTATATGGTAAGTCTGGAGAGAGCACATAGGAGGGCATGTTCCGGCTAATGTGCCTTCTACATTATAGATTATTCTGAAACCCGGTATGAGCCACGAACTCTGGGACAGTGCTGAGAAGATTGTGCGAGAGCTGGGTAAAGAAATCGAGCGCAATGAGCCCAACAGTCGTTCAAACCAACCGGGTCTCGGCTGGCAATACAACGGAAAGTTCTTCGTGGATCGAATCGATAGATTGAAAGTAGAAATGAAAGCAAAGGGATATAACGTACACGTTTTCTATTTGTCTTTTCCTTAACTTCCTTCGTCTATTATGTTACCCTATACCGGCCTAAAGAGGATATCTTCTAAAATTTGACTCTAGGTCCTCGCCTGTACTGTGTTCCACTTCTCCAAAAACGCGAAGATTCGAAACCCAACAAAACATTATATTTTACTACCGATAGAAGGGTCTTCGATACTCAAACCCGCAGAGCGTCCCTTACCGAAGTTACAAGTACACATTGTTTATGACGAACCAGTGCTAGAATCAGACGGGGGAGTGGATATGATATGCATGGCACTGGAAGAGAAACATGGAGAAAAGAAGGTTAGCAAGGACGTAGAAATAGAGCGTGTTGAGTTGGCCAACAATGTGGAAGACCAAAACTGTTGATATTATATTTGTGTATCAAATGGAAGTGATAACCCGACAGTATTCTGTTTTTTGAGGTCGAGACCTTGAGATATACCAGTAGCTTCTACCAGTAGCTTCGTTATTGGTATTGTGAAGACTATCCAATTGAAATCCATTGGATTGAGCGTTGGATTGGTCAGGCAGAGGATCGGATTGGATAGTACTGAATACGGAAGGTATATTGACTTGAGCTTAAGGAGAATCGAATTGGGGTTGTGAAGAATCAAACTGAAAGCTTCTGTTGGCTGTTCTGGCGATAGATTAATGGCAAGACTTTCAAAATACATTGACATAACAGTCTGAATTGTGCCTACATAGATCCTGCAAAAAGCCCTGCCCTCGACTCCTACTGGTGCATTCTCTGCTATACTGACAATACTGGGTTAGTATTGGGCTGTGGACATGGCTACTGTTCAGAATGTTTCAGCAACTTCTTTTACAAACACGTCATGGGGTTCATCCAGTTAAGAAATGAGGACCGGGCAACTTGGATGCAATATGTCGCCTTTATATTGCCCTATGCGCCCCTATGCCCCAGAACCCTTCCAGGTTGTTACATGTATAAGAGCCAGTGCATATTAAATGTTGAAGTTCTTATTACTATTTTCATGCTGGATGTCTCACAGACTGTCGTGAGTAGTCAGATACACATTCCACCATTATTGGATTATGGCAACTTATACTAGTATACACCCACACCTACGTGCAAATCTATCAGCGAGACTAAGCCAGAGAGAGTGATATCTTTAAAACAGCCAGAAGCAAAGACCATACAATATTATGCAGAAGGACATACAGGAACGTGACCACTGAAGCCCTAACATGCCAAATACCCTCTGTTGAGGAGTCTATATAGAGTGCTTAAAACACAGATATCACCAACTAGTCAACCCTTTCATACGATCAAACCCACCTCTCAACTGCGAGTCTGGATGAACCACTTTCCCTTGGAGAATCGTATACTTAACCAGCCCCTCACAATGCTCAGGCTTGACCCTCCCCAACCAGATCATTTGCTGCTGCTTCTTCCGATATATCAAAACGTTCGCGGCAAACTTATGCCCACCAACATGAGAAACAAAGTAAATCCCCACCCCACCGGGTCGCTCATCATCGAGGTCACGGTATAGGCCGTGCCCACGTAGATGGCGCTCCAGCTCCTTCTTGATCAACGGTGCCGTGATGCCACAGCGGGCATCGCGCCGTTGATGCGAACAGAGGAGAACAACATAGTCATGCTGACATGGTCGTGACGACAGCCGGGATTCTTGTTTCGGGTTATCAATAAACGTATCAACCACATGTCTCACATCTCCGTAGGCAACACCGTCCACGAAGGTAAACGACGGTAAAAGTAATACAGTCGTCTTCCCGGAATCAACCTGCCCGCTTTCGTTCTCTGGTGGTGTGAGATTCGATGCGGAAACCATGATTCTCTACGTCATTATAAACATATAGCCTCCATAAACTAAATAGGACTAGAACATAGAGAAAAACTTACTCCATGCTTCGACTTCCCCCCATCGGACTTGAACGCCTCCATCAAACTCCCCTTCTCCTGCTCTACCTTCCCGACCCAATCCGTCTTCCCGGTTGCCACGAGTACATGCGCGTGGAATTGCTTGATGTACCCGTACATCGGGAGTGTGGTATCTACTTTCACCTTGGACGGCCACTTGACCGTGCAATCGGCGCAGTCGTGGCGGCATTCCTCGCCATCTATTTTAGGATCGACGGTGGGGAAGATGTACTCTGGGGAAGCGAGTTTCGTGAGAGTGAGGAGAGAGCGGAACATTTTGTATAAATGGAATTATTATGCCGCTGGTGTGGAAGAAGCGACAACTATAACAAGAATATAGAAGTTAAGAATGGATAGGCTGTTATCGGGCTGATATATGATTAGACTACGTGTAATATTACTCAGACCTTATAGCTGGATGTAAGAAGAACATTATCCCTATTTCTTTGTTATAAGGCTGCCATGGCCTGGACCAATAGTAAGTGTTATAAAGCGTTCGTTGGGCGTTTGTATACTCGGTTCCCCCTTCGGAGATATGTCGCCAAGCACCATTTTAGTCCGAAAAGAAGGCTTCCCCGAGCTAGTCGGCTCCGATGCTTCGGGAATTTATCCTTGCGGGGTTTTGGTGCCTGGAGGTTAGACTTGAGAAAAGACGTGTATAACAGTAGACTGGGTCAGGTATTTGTTGGGGTGAAGGGCTTTTCTTAAAGACAAATAACTTAATGCCAACAGCTATTTAATTAACAGACTACTCAACTGGGTGAATTAATAGAAGATATTAAAAGTTCGAGCTAGCAAGCCGTAAATACGCCAAACACCGCGGAACAAACAGTGTAGCGACCTCCCGTATATACGGAGGGTCGGTACCTACAGCAAATACCTGAGCCCACCGCCTCTCGCTATCAATATTACACACAATCAATTACAACAAAAACCCCGAATCTTTCCACGCCCGGATATACTTCATGACCAACTCTCGGTCAATGGGACCCAAACTTCTCAACGTCGCCGAATGCTCTTTGCTCTGTGTTGTATCGAGGATCATTCCCCCACAGGACATGCGCAAAAAGTCTGTCTCAAAAAAGTCGATAAGCCGCACCGCTGGGTTCTCCGATCCCGCGATACTGGGAGGATAATTACGCACACGCTGGAGCCATTTTTCGTAAGGAACGATGTTGGCTTGCGGAATTTCCAGAGCATCGGAGAGTATGGAGATCATCTCAGGCCAGGGCTGTCTCACGGGATTCTCGATGTGGTAGATTGGATACGCAGGTTCGTCCCTTAGTAGAAGATCTCCAAGTGTGCTGGCGACATCGTTGACGGGACACCATGATAAGGCCTATTGACACTGTCAGCAAAGAGAATCGGTAATTAAGATCAAAAGAAGAACATACACCGTCGAGATCGGGGAGCACGCCAAGGGACTGCGACGACTTGATCAAGTGTACCAGGTGCTCCACCGGATTCCAGTACCCGTTGACCTTGGACCCGGAGATTTGCCCAACCCTCACGGACATGGTGCGGAAGTGCTCCGGATGCCTGTGCAGCGTCTCATCTAGCATCTTCTCACAGATGAGCTTGGCGTCCGCGTACCCCATCGACAGGGCGGAAGCTACGTTGACTCTCTGCTCTGGGACCCGAGCCTTGTGGGTCAAGAAAGGGTGACAGCCCACAACGGACACGGAGGAGACGAATTGGAATCCGATTTTCTGCATACCCGGTCGCCGTTGACAGGCAGCGTCGCGGCAGAGATCGATTAAGTTGCGAATGGCCTTGAACTGGGTCTCGAAGCCACGGGCTGGGCGGGTCATGCTCATGGCCCATGCATTGTGGACAACGTCAGTGACACAATTGACTAAATGTTGATACTCGGTGAGGGAAAGGCCGAGCATGGGTGCTGAGGAGTTGGTTTCAATTGCTTCAACTTTCGACAGAAGATTTTGATGGAGTTCCAAGCCTCTCGACTGCAGCGCCTCAAGCTGTCGAGTTGTCGCGTCTGAGCCACTTATCCGGTTCAGACAGATGACTTTACGAACGTCCGGTTGCGCGGCGAAATGGGCAACCAGATGAGATCCGAGACTGCCAGTGGCACCGGTCACTAGAACATAGCGAGAAGAATCATAATTTGTTTGGGATGTCGAGAGCGAGGTAGGGACGGTAAAATCGAGGGTGTGTTTCTGGACTAAGGAGTCCACTACCACTTGACGCGCAGCAAGGTCAGCCGTGGAGATCGAAGAAGCTGGGGGACATATAGATACCAGGTTTTGGCTTTGAGGAGACGCAAGGGCAATAATAATGCGCTGGATCGAATTCTCAGGAAGCTGGCCGTCGGACCAGTCGACATGGCCGTATCCGTTGGCACGCAATGTCCGCTGCCAGAGGTCGGGTTGAGCGAGGGCATGGGTTCGACCGTCATTGAATAGCCACCAGCCTTCTACTAGTCCAAACACTGAGTCTACCCATGGCACAGCCTCGGTCATTTCCAGCATGATGAGGAACCCGTCGGGACGAAGGATTCTGTGGATGTTCTTGGTGGTCGCCGCTAGACTGTGGGTTGCGTGTACACAGTTTGTCGCCAGTACCACGTGCTGGGTTTCGAGAAGCTTGGTGGGTGGGGCTTTTTCGATATCAATAACCTCGAAAGACATCCAAGGGTAGTTCTTGAAACGTTTCCGGAGACCTGCCACCAGTGAAGGAGAGATGTCGGTGGCGGTATAGCGGACGGGGACGCCGGAGCTGGCGAGTAGTGGTAACAGAGCTGCCGTGGTGCCTCCCGTCCCGGCTCCCATTTCCAAGATGTTAATTGGCTGCTGTTGCTGTTGTGGGATGTGGGCTATGAAGCGCTGCCAGAAATGCTGGAGCTGACGAAGCCAGGCCACATTGATTGGAGACTTTCCGTACATACCGGCAGCAAGCTCACGTCCTTCGGCGCTGCCAAAGAGCAGCTGAATGGCTTCTGTTTTACCACTTAGGCAGTCCGCTAGTCTTGATCCGGTCAGACTAGTGAGCTTGTGATCATAGGAATGCTCGGGATATTCGCGCAGGAGTTCCTGGAGCAGCTGTGGAGCGGACTTGGTTGGCAAAGGAACAGCTGTGCGAATCATTGACAAGCCATCCAAGTCGACCAGGCGAGCCTTCTCCAATAGACCAGTCAAAACAGCCATGACCTTGTCGTGCTTTGGAAGATGGGGAATGCGCTTGATGGTTTGGCCTGCCTGTGCAGAATGAAGGGAGCAGCCCAATTGCTCAAAGGCGTCCAGTGTGTGGGCCACGACTAGTTCAGTGAGCTTTGGCTGGACGTAATTGGAATAGCCAGACAGATTACTTTGCTCGATAAACTGATCGGTCAGAGTCTTGGTTTCAGTGAAAGCATCAATAATGAGTTCAGCACTCAGCGCACCACCGGTAGCGACACTTTTCACTTCTTCAGCAGGCTCACTTGGCGGAGTTTGGATGCCGCTATCTCCTGAGGTCTCTTCGAAGCCATCGCTCAGATCTCCATCTGTCACGGAAGAGTCGGATGCACCCATGTTGGCTTGAACGCAGTTCACTAGGCTCCGAACATCGGTCATTTGCATGAGCTCTTCGAGTTCGAACTTGATGCTGAACGCCTTCTCCACCTCGCGAGCGACCTCCATGGCTAGCAGCGAGTCAATGCCCAACTCCACAAGATCTGAACTAGGTTGGATATCCTCCGGTTCGAGACCAAGCAAGTTACAGAATAGATCCCGGACACCATCCAAGACATCACGTCCTGGAGCCTTCTTTGGCTTTGCCTGTTGACTCTGCGGTGCTGCTGAGTCGATAAAGCCATTGGCCTTTGGTTTGATCACTGGTGCCTTCGCAGCGGGAGACACAATAGCGGGTAGTGCTGCAAGGGGTTCTGGAGCTGGCGCTTGCTGTGCAGGCTGGACACCAGCAAAGCGTCCCAAAAGACGAGACATGCCGGCGAAGGACACCTCAACGAAGTGAAGGCCAAGTATGACCCATACCAACTGGCCGGTAGTCGCGTCGAAGACGAACAAATCACTTACATATTCCTTAGGAGAGGAATGATTATGAATCGCGTACACCTCCCAGTGTTCCGGTCGCGAGTCCAGTGGGACATCTGGGGAGCGGATCCACCTTTCCACACGATTGGATAGGTACATCTTGCCATCCTCACACTCGGCCATGCAGTTCAAATAGATGCCAGCCACTTGGCAGAAGGTGTCTGCGAGCCCCACGCTGAGAATCGTTTGTGCCGCGTCTTGCATGACGATGCGACCCGCTGACTCGTTACGAGTAGCGGCGATCTTTTGCAACCCCTTGTAGGTATCGTCATTGTACTGCACAACGGGTGCAAAGACCTTGTAGATGTTACGGCTGCCCTGGATCACATGTTCCGCCTCTTGTCCGTCCAGCAGTGCAAGAGCACGTCGTCGGTCTACCAGACGTTCACATGTTGTAAAGATCTTCGAGGCATCACGGAAAGAGCGGAACAACAGCCGGCCTGAAACGTGCTTCGTCGCATTATCTCCCGCGTTATCTTTATTGACGCTGGTGATGCGGAAGTCCCAGCTAGTCGATTCACTATCGGTTCTGTACGCATCGAGCCAGACAAGCTTAGACTCGTCAAGGAACAACGGTGCGTCATTCTCCATATTCTCAAGCTCGGGAATCATATCTGAGTCTTCCAGGAGGCTTGCCAGTGCCTCCCTTGCCATGACATGCTGCAGCATGCTAGGACAAATCGGCGCTGTTTGTGCGACTAGGTGAGCACCGACATACTTCTTGAATTCATCCGATGTGGCATGAATCTGGAAGCGGGCGTGAGTGTTCCCACTGTCCTGGAAGCCCATGAATGCCCAAAGTCCCTTAGGAGGCTTTGGCAAAGAAGGTACGGGTGTTGCCTCCTTGGCTTCCGGCTTCCGGCGCTCCAGCCAATGTCTCGATTTAGCAAACTGATACGGTGGCAGGAGCAGAAGGGAGTGAGATGACGTCTGCTCGACATGTTCCCAGAAGGCAACGTTCACACCTTCCTTCCACAAATTCACCGTAGCATCTGCCATATTCTGAACGGCTCCAGAGCTGGTGATGTTGATCGACTGGAAGGTCATACCGTGGGATCCTGCCGCTCTACTGGCCAGTGCTGTGACGCCCGAGCCCGAGCCTGCTTCAAGCCAGATGCTGCCGGGGTATTTCTGGGCCAGACGTTGGACTGCTCGGTCGAAATACACGGGGTCCCTCATATGGGAAGCAAAGATATTGAAAGCTGGAGGCCCACTGATCGCCTCCTGAGTGGCTCTCTCGTGGGGAATAGCTAGGCTTCGGAAAATCAAATCCTCCCCGAGCCTCTCGAGTTCGGGGACTAGAGGATCCACGAGTGCGGAGTGGAAGGCGTGGGTGATATCTAGCTGTTTCGCTTTGATAGACGTGAAAGATGGGTCGCTCAACAGAGTCTGCTTAACAGCCTCCATCGCCTTCGATGTACCCGCTATGGTGAATTGGCGGGGACCGTTATAGCAGGCTATGTTGATAGGTGGCTCTGTCGTTTGTGCGGCGTTGGTTTCGCGCAAAAGTCTTTGAACGCTCTCTAACTCACCATCGACGGCCATCATGGAGCCACGGTCCAGACCCCAGTTAGCCTCAAGGAGACGAGCACGCCCGGCAATCATCTTTAGTGTGTCCTCGACTGAGAGCGTCCCAGAGACGCACATAGCGGTGAGTTCCCCAAAGCTGTGGCCGACCAGCGCGGTGACCTGGACACCACTGTCTATCCAGCTCTTGGCGCATGCGTACTGCAGAGCGAACTGCATGGTCTGCAACTCGACAATGCTACGCCTGGGAGTCCGCTCAAAGATGGCTGGAATGATTCCTTCAAGACCGAGGGATAGACACGTCTCGTGGCACTGGTCGAGGTAAGTGCGGAGCAGTTTGAATTGATAGTAGGCTTCACGATCTAGGCCGACAAAATTAGACCTTTGACCACCAAAGCACAAAATGACCGGACGAGATGATTGTTGTCGTTGAGCGGAGGTCAGCTCGCCCCGTCCATCAGCGAAGCTGGCGAGCTTCGCTTCGAGTTCGTCAACGGACACGCAGCTAAACATGAGCGACTGCCCGAGCAAGCGGTTGGACTGATGCGCCAATTGATAAGACAGATTTTCAATAGTGAAGCGGTGATCATTGGGCTTCCTCGATTGGAGGAATCGGACCATTTTCGTAGCATACGATCGCAAGGATTTGTCGTCTATGCCAGAGAACCAGAATGGACGCTTGCCAGCAACTGCCTCTCTCACCCTCCGAGTTTCACCGTCAAGGTGTAAATTATCTGCCTGTGTGATGACAAGCGAAGCGTTCGAGCCAGAGGCGCCGTAGTTGTTGAGGAGCGCCGCCCGGAAGTCCGTCGCCCACGACCTCATACTAGTGGAGATCTCGACGTTATCCAATGGTGATGCGTTCAGTTTGGAGCTGATCGTGCGGAAGCTGGACTGCGGAGGAATTGCACCGTTTTGGATCATCAGAAGCACTTTGATCAAAGCAGCAACACCCGAAGCACACTCCAGATGACCGATCAGGCCCTTGACCGAACCAAGGGAAACAGGCTCCGCGCGACCCTGTCCTCCCAACACCCTGCGAACACTGTCGTACTCTGCGCGGTCACCAACTTGTGTACCGGTACCGTGTGCCTCGACCACGGAGATTTGCTTGGGGTCAAGTCTTGCCTTTCGCAGAACGCCGTTGAAAACGCTGGTGAGGGATTGAACACTTGGGGCGGTAATAGCCGAGCAGTTTGCGTTTTGGTTCACAGCGGAGCCTCTGATAACACCCAGAACTTGATCACCATCTTCGATCGCGGCGGACAGTTTCTTTAGGAAAACGGCGCCAGCGCCTTCTCCCCTGCAGTAGCCATCAGCGGCCTCATCAAACGGCTTACACTGTCCGGTAGGACTGAGAAAAGAGGCGCCATCAAGGTTCTGGTACCACTCTGGGCTCGTCATAACGTTGACACCACCAGCAAGAGCAGCATGGCATTCGCCGTTCAGGATGGCGTTGCAAGCATGATGAACAGCCAGGGCAGAGGACGAGCAAGCCGTGTCAATGGTCACACCGGGACCACTCCAGCCAAAGAAGTGGCTTATCTTTCCGGCAGCGAAGGACTTGAGGTTGCCCGTCGCAGTATACGCAGTGGGTGTATGGCAGGCAACGTTGTTCTCGTAGTCAGCCACTCCGATACCCACGTAACAACCGACGTGTTGGTCAATGGCTGCTTTGTTGAAGTATCCGGACTGTTGGACGGCCTGGTATGCCACCTGAAGCATCATGCGGTGTTGGGGGTCGCATGATACCATTTCCCGTGGGCTCTTCTGGAAGAACTTATGGTCGAAGGCATCATGGTCACGAACAAAATTACCAAACCACTTCCTGTTCTTATCGTTCTCTCGCCAGGCAGCGTAATCAAAATTAATGCGGTCTGAAGGCACCTCCGTGCACTGCGATTTGGCCGCGCATATCGTGTCCCAGAACTCGTCCAGGTCACTTCCTCCAGGGAAGTGACAGGCCATCCCAACTACGGCAATGGCATTATCCTCAATGGGTCCTAATAGAGCGCCAAGTGCTGGGGGTAACTGGGCCGACGTAAAATCGAGATCGGCAGCGTACGCCAGTTTGGGGCCGAGTTTGCGGAGGAACCACTGTGGCACAAAGCTCTGGCTTCCGAAGCAGATGGTGAGATATGGGCGAGTAGAAGTCGACTCATGCAGTGTTGTAAAAAGCTTGTGCCAATCAGCCTTGTCGGTCAGCATTGCTCGGGCTACTGCATGGTGAAGTTTGTCCTCAAGTTGGAATCTGCCACCATTAGCAGAGCGCATGCCGAAAACAAGTTGAGAAGCGTGTGGGAATTGGAAGGATGGGTCTGAGTCAAAGAGCCGCAAGAGGGAAGCCGCCTGATTCTCGCGCTTGCCACAGTGGAATGGTCCCCGCAAGCCGGTCTTTGTGAAGATGAAGCCAGTATCTTTTAGCTTCTCCAACAGTTGAGGGGCGTCGGTCTTCAGCACGGTGAGGGTGGCGAGGCGAGCTTCGGAAATGACCGACACATATGCCTACAAGATCATTAGTATAGCCTCATCTCAGTCGATTTGGTACAGGGTAAAGTACCTCTGGGAAACTGTCTACAATGCTGTCCAATTTACTCTCCAGAGCATGGGCCGTCCACCCAACAGCCAACGACTGCCATCTGTCTCCGTCTTCATGATCTGAATCTCCGGCGTCGACCAACGCCCCGATAGCGGTGGCCATGCGAATAGCGGCTGCGCCATGCTTTTGCAGCTCTGCGAGATTCGCAGAACTAGCCACCGCAGCTGAGCTTATGAGTCCAGTGCAAAGACCCACTGTCTCTGTATCAAGCTTCAGAATCCCTTGAAGGCTATCATTCGATGAAAAACCCGGGTTGATTTGCTTTACAAATTTAGTGTACTGTGCCAGTTGCGTCGTCACGACCAACGGGGTAACGAGGATGTTGGGCAGTGGAAACAGATTCGAGGGCAGTACGCCTCTTCTAACCCATTTGTTTAGCAAGTCCAGATATCTCTGGCCCTGGAATGCTGCTAGTTCTGGGTGGGCATCGGCAATCTTTTGCCATTCCCGCGGCAATTGTGTCAATGTGTCTACGACCCACTCGAGCTCGGGTGTTTCGAGCAGTGTTGTCCGAAGCGTCTGCAAGAATGTGTCGTCGAGGTTAGGGTCTTGAGGCCCAAAGACCAGCTTAAGGCTCTCGGATTTGGTGTTAGAGGTTGAAGTGACCATGTTGAATGCCGGGTCAAGGGTGTTCTGGAAGAGTAGAGATTTCGTGTCTGGATGTTGCTTGGAAGCTGACAGTCTGTGGAATGAAGGGGTGTAAATATACAAGTTTGATTTATAGCTGAGCTCATCATAAGTCGAGAGGATTACAAACTACCATCTCGGAAGGCGGTGATTGGATTGAATTCCTGGGGTCGCGAATCCTGCAGCCCTAATCTTACACTCCGGAGAAAAGTACTGCTTAAAAAGATTGTCCGACGGGGGCCCGGAAATCAGCCTCTTCCTTAGTTTTCTCTTATGGGTTTTTCGGTGTTATTATTAGGATGTCTGGATCTCTGCTTGGTTCTAAATATACACGAAGTTTTCTGTAAGCTTACCTGCGCCGTTGCCTTAGAAAGCCCTTTGAATTGAAGTCGGCATAGTGAACTATTCAGCACCATATAGCACGTCTAGTCATCTTTGATCTTTGTAGAGTATTATTATTAGGTATCCATTGATATCCCCGGGTAATAGGGCTCATGCTCAGCCTACTACATTTGCCCCTAGACATAAACAAAGTAACTGTAGACCTCTGCATTGATCTCATTGAACATAATCAAACCTAGGATACCTAATAACTGCATCTACAACCTCACTCACACAAGCGCAACCCCATCAACCCACTGCGCAACAGAGGTAGGCTCCCTCCCCAACAACCACCTCAACACATTCGGACTGCCCTTCAATCCACGCCGATTATAAAACAAAATCAAATGTTCAGCCGTATCACGCACAAGATCACCGCGTAAATCACCCTCACTGGCCAACCCAAGACCCAGCTCGCCATCGCCCTTCTCCTCCCCACCATACAAAGCCCTAACGAGCTTATTAACCCCCGTCTCAAAAGAAGGCGTCCTAATCTCGATCTTCTTCCCAATGCGCCTCTCAATGATTTGAATAATCTCCGTCTCGGAGATGGGCATGGTCGAGCACAGGGGGTATTCAGCCAAATAATGCCTTTCTCTGTCATTCAACACCTTGGCCGACGCCTCAGCCAGATCCGCCAGCGCGATCACGCTGTTCTGGTGTTCTGGCTTCCACCATTTCTCCAGAACGGGTGTTTCCTGTGCCGCGAGCGCGGCGACGGGGTATGCGTCTAGGAACTGTTCGACAAGTCAGCATGCCCCCGAACCTTACATAGTAGAACATTAAAGAAGCTAGGATAGGAAAAACCCACATTTGTCGGCTTAAGAATCGTCCAACAATCCAGCGGACTCAGAAATAGGCGTTCCTCAACGTAGCTCTTCAGATCATGCTGCAGGAGATTGCGGTGCTGAGTCCCGAGGACGCTCGAGAAGACGAAGTGCCGGAACACGTTTCCCGTACGTCGAGACTCCGCAACCGCTGCGTCGATCAGGTTGAAGCCGATTTCTTTCTCGTGGGAGTGCAGACTCGGCAGCACGGCGTTGATGGCTGTTGCGCCGTGCAGGAGCTGACGGCAGTCGGAGAGGTGCTGGAGGTCTGTCGTTACGACGTCGGCGTCGGGGTACTGGGCTTTGAGCTTGAGGGCGGAGGCTTCGGAGTGTGCGGCGAGGCGGAGCTGGAATTTGCCCTTGTTGTAGAGGAGGGGGATCAGACGCGAGCATTGCTTGCCGCTTGGGCAGGTTATTACTAGAATTTCGCTCATCTCGAGGTTGGTATAGTGTATTCGGATTGTGGTCTAGGGAGAAGTTTGGAAATTTGAGCATTAGGGGGTAGAATTATTGAGCCAAGGTATTATACGACTCGATGGGGGTTGTTTGTTAGAATGGTGGTTCGCCTGCTCGGAGTTTCTTTTTCATAAGTGCCTCCGGCCCCCAACTACGATCCAACATATCGTTTCTCTTGGCACTACGCGGGCTCCAGTATTTATTATGCCGTCGGCGTGCGATCGAAAATAGCACACTGCAGACAACATGCATTCTGGTAAGATTGTAATCATAACAGGTAACGTCTAACATACGCACGGACATTCATACGGTGCAGAGAGCTGAGTGTAGATGATAGGCGCGAACACCGGCATCGGCCTGGAAACAGTCAAATCACTATTGCGCTCGAGCCAGAAATACCACATCCTGCTTGGTGGTCGCAATCTTGAGAAGGCTCAATCGGCCTGCCAGAACCTCGATTCTGGGACATCGCCAAGCTCAATCGAGCCGTTCCAGGTGGACGTTGAAAGCGACGAGTCAATCGAGGCAGCTTTCAAGCATATCTCAGCCAAATACGAACGGGTCGATTGTCTCATCAATAATGCTGGTTCGTGATACTTCCTCCTCTACGAAGTAAAAGGATATCTAACTGGAGAACCAGGAGCTTGTTTTGACGCCCAAATTACGGACGGCCGCATGACAGCCCGAGAGGCATGGAATAAAGCATGGGATGTCAATGTGACTGGTGCACATATCATGACTACAGCCTTTCTCCCACTCTTGCTCAAGTCTCAAGATCCTAGACTGCTGTTCATCACTAGTGGTCTTTCCTCGTTGCAGGGTTCTTCAGATCCCAACAACCCGAGGAACGTTTTCCCACCGGCAGGGCTTCCCAAACCATTCCCGTTCGTCGGGTACCGGTCCTCGAAGACAGGGCTTAATATGGTAATGGTGGAGTGGGCGAAGGCCTTGAAGAACGACGGGGTTAAGGTGTGGTCTGTTGCTCCCGGTCTGTTGGCTACTGGCTTGGGTGGTGACGTGGACCTGTTGAAGAGACTGGGGGCGCAGGATCCGAGTATTGGAGGCGATACCATCCGACGAGTGGTTGAGGGAGATAGAGACGGTGAGGCGGGTAATGTCGTACGCGAATACTTAACACCGATTCAACCATGGTAAATAGGTGGCCAATGGAGAGTGCCATGGTATCAATAGTCACGAAGGCAGAGCTAGTCTTTGGAATCTACTTTTGAGAATCCCATCAGAGCTTACTCTTGTCACTGTAGCCATAGTATAAATTATTCTTACTTTATTGTAGAAGCCATTTAATCCCATGTAGCAGGCATAGACTTGTACCTTAAGTCACTACACCAATGCTAAAAAAAAGCTCTGCATGCTCCAAGGGGTCGAGTGCTTCAGCTAAGGTATACTAGACGCGCTGAATGTCTATGGGAAGCCAATGGTAAATAGTACGCAACCACAAGCTACATCTACTAAAGATCAAAACTCAAAATGGCGAGTTAATTCAAGAAACAATACCCGATTAGAATACAATCTCAGCTACATAAATTATCACAAGATTCAAAGCAATTCACTCCGCATAAAAGATACCAAATAACCACCATAACTACCAGGGGACAATCAGAGGCCCAGCTTCCTACCAGCTTCACCCCCAATAGTCTCCATCAGGCGTTGCCGAATATGCTCACCAATCACCGTCTCAACGCCAGAACCATCCAAAGCCTGGCACTTAAGATCGAGATTTCCATTCAGGAAGAACGGTGCGCTGTACCTTGGCCTGATGTTATGATTGACAACACGGTGACGCGCGCTCCGGTAGTACCCGGCCGTCCATTTCTGCATCATATCGCCCATGTTGATCACATAGGAATGTTCCTTGACTGGCACAGGAACCCAAGTCTGCGTTGGCGGGTAGAAGACTTCCAGTCCCTCTGTGTCTTCCTCCTGGAGAAGAACGGAGACATTGCCGAAGTCCGTGTGATCGCCCACTAGAACCTATGTTAGAGTTGCAAGCTTCCAATTAGGAGCATGAAGCTTTAGGACATACCGCCGAATTGGTTATCATGCTTCACCGGCTGGGGAGCATAGTGGAGAAGACGCAGCGGAGCGGAAGGATTAACCGTCAACTCGTCAAAAACATCGGGGTAACAGCCCCAGTGCGCTGGAAGACCACGGGCAAGGACCTTGAGGATCACCTTCACCATTTCGAGCATCTTAGCGTGATATTCCATGACAGGAATGCGGAAGTCTTCGTCCGCGAGAGCCTTCGGCCACTGGTTAGGGCCGGTGTGGAAAGTGCCAGCTTCCGGGGCGTCTGCGGGTGTCTCCCGGCCGATGATGAATCCCTTCTTCAATTAGAACTGTTCGTTCGGTGCTCCGATAGTAACGACTCACCTCCTTTGTATCCGGTAACAGACCCTCTTGGTGCACCTGCAGTGCGGGCGGCTCATAGCCACGGAACGAGCGACCCATAGCTTTCCCGATCCACGTCTCCATCTTGTCTTCCTTCGGCAGGGAGAAGTATAGTTTGGCGCAATTGAGAATCATCTGGCGGTCTTCTTCGGGGATGCCGTGGCCGACGAGGTAGAAGAAGCCAAAGGTGGTGCATGCGTCGCGCATGGCGTCGACTACTTGCTGCTTAGCCTCTGGGGAGGCGTTCTCATCGAGGAACGGACTGATATCCACTGTCGGGATTGCAGTAGGCGGCACTACACTGTTGCTACCCATTTTGCTTGTCTATGCTATGTTGTCCGATACTCGTAGAATCTCAGATTCTAGTTTGAACATAGAAATAAAAGTCAGTTGTACGCAAATGAGACACAATGTCGGTTACTACAGAGAAAAAAAGACTTCTAATCTGCTCTCTAGTCGCCTGCTACTGTCTACACTTGTTCCCGATTCGTTTTGGTCAGCCTGGTCAGCTTTCCTTCATAATACGCCGCTAAAGCGAACGATCCATGGGGCTGATTCTAAAGATTACTCCGGTTCTTGGGGGCCTGAAACATTGGATGCTGAGGAATATGGTTAGTCTGAGCTGACTTTTGGTAGGACTATCTTTTAAGTCCTTTCCTCCATAATTTTATTCCGATACTCTCTTTGCCAAGAGATTCAGCGTATTCTAAAAGGTTACTCCGGGCCTAGAAATATGGAGAATAAATTGAAGATGGTGCCAATGTGAGGGAAAGGCGCCACCAAAGGTAACGTTTAGTAGTAATAAGCGAACTAGTATTTTAGGGCAAAATGGAATAGAGCCAGAACTTATAAATTTAAAATGTAAAAAATTGCGAAATCTATCAGGACACCGAGCATAACACATCCCCACTCGCAAAGCCAACAACCCTACTCCATTGGGCATCTGCGGCAGCAAAATAGGTCCAATTCTCACGGTTCCTCCTAAATCGACAGTCACTCAACAGTCACTCAACCATCACTCAAGATGTCCGAAAAATACGACTGGCTCGTTCAAATCCCCGTGAACGTGAGCGATATGCAGGCGTGGGCCAACGCCCGAGACGCCCATCTCTCGCACCTCAAGCCATACGTCGCAGATGGAACTATTGTTTTCGCAGGTCCCACCTTGGCAGCACATCCGAAGGGGCCAGAAGACAGGATGGAGATCACCAGCAGTGTCATGATGTTTCGAGCGACGACCGAGGAGGAGGTACGCGCGATCGTCAGCAAAAACGCATTCGTTGAGGCGGGAGTTTGGAACATGGATCACGCAGTGGTGGCACCTTTTAAATGTGGCGTGAGGACAGCGGCTTGAAGATTCGATTAAGCCCTGATCGGAACTTCTAATGTATTTCCAATTACTGTAGAGCTCTGTGCAATGTCTTGTGGCGGTGATTGTTACTTTTCTATATAACTTAATTTGGCTAGAATTAATTTTTGACGAGCTATTAAGTGGAGATTAATTAAAAAAGCACTGAAGGATATATTCTAATTATGTTCCTGATAGAGAAAGAAAACAATCATTAACCACTTCCAGCCTCCGTTATCATCTGAAGTCCATTCTTTTAGTCATAAATTCATATCATCCGGAAGGCAAGACACTCTCCTGCGGACCAGGCGGTTGAAAAGGGAAATCCCCTATGCCTTAATCGCAAGCTTGGGGCCGTACTTGGCCACACGGATTGCAGCGTACAACAGACCAGCAGCGCAAGTCGGTACACCACCAAAGGTCCACAAGCTGTGCCAGTTAAGGGAGTCACCACCGGTCCGCAGGATCGCGCCACTGCTGGGGCCGCTGATGAGGACACCCAGAGCAATAATAGCGTAACCCATACCAATTCGAGTGCCCAGTCGCGACTTATCCTTGGTGAGCATGGCAAGCACATGGGCGGCAAGCCGATCAGAGCACCACTCATAAACCCGGAAAGCAGCGCCATGACGATAATCGCGCCTTTGGAATGCACAACCATCATGAGCAGCATCAGCATACCGGAGATCAAGGAGGCCGGTACGAGAAGGTTGAAGGGACCCATCTTGTCGGCCATCTTGTTGGGGATGGTCCGGCCAAACACAGATGCGGCGTTGAAGATGGTGACCAGGTAAAAAGCGAGGGATTCGTCGGTGATGTGCTCCGCGGCAGAGTAGTAGGAGAGGTAGAACAGGATAACGAACAAGCCCATGTAGGCGACGAGAGAGGTGAGGATGAATGTCATGTAGCCGGCATCAGTGAACGCGGTCGGATCTAAGATGGCGCGAACCTTGGGGGGCTTGACACGGAGCTTCATCACAGATAAGGGGATCAGCAGGGTTCCCAGCGCAATGAATCCAATGACGCGAACAGCCCAAGGGAAGCCGATCTCGTTGATCAGTCGATACAGCACGACGGGATAAATAACACCTCCCAGGGCGGAGCCCGAGGCAGCGATACCCATGGCCATGCCCATCTTGGTGCTGAAGTACTGAGGGATGATAGCGACGCAAGGCACAAAAAGACAGCCGGTCCCGATACCGACCACGAAGCCTTGGGCGAGCAGAACTTGCCAGAAGGTCTTGCAGAGACTGAGCATCATATGCCCGAAGACGACCATGAAACCACCCACGATAAGGAGTGTGCGGAGGAAGCCACGGTCGTAAATCGGGCCGACAAAGAGTCCCACAAACAGCAACATAAAGGCTGCGATCGAGCCAACCCAGGAAATATCAGAAGAACTCGCAGTGAAGAGCACCCCAGACTCATAGTAAGTCTGGTAAGCACCGAACGTGTTGAGGATACCCCAGGTGTTGAAATAGAGCATGAAACTGCCCAAGACATTCAGCCATGCCAAAGAGCCTCCATTGGGTGGGGGAGATGGTCCACCGGCAGGTCTGGATGGAGGTTCTTGAGGCTGTGGAGGTTTAGTATCCATGCTCTTCTCACTCTGCGCCGTTGTGTCGCTCATGGCAGTTTCGTGTTCAAGGGCCAGCAGTTTCTGTTCCAATTCTTCGGATGGATAGGCGGAATTCAGACGTATGGAAAGGAGTGACAGCAGTAACAATAATTATAATATTCTTGATGCAAGCTTGAGATTGTAGTTTGCACGATCCAACCCTCCTGTCGATCTGTTATTCCCTTTATATACAACATTGTCAGTCGGGCTTAGGGTCGGGTCCTCGGGAAATTAACTCCATTTGTAAATCCTCGGAGATACTTGGTGTTTGCAGCCTTCGGAGGCTGTTGGCCATCCATGGATTTTGCTGGTCATCTTCCTCTTAGGGCTTCTGCATGCGCGTGATGAATCATGACCACCAGCAAAAGAAACTCCGAACGTCCAATCATCGCCCCCCACACGGCCCGTGCCGCCCCACTTCAGCCCAACGCGTCAGCATGGCTGTTCTAAGTGTCTAGTAGTTACTGCGAACAAAAACATTTGGGAAAATAGGGGGGAAGATTTTCAAATCCGTGTGTAATACTGGACAACTCATAAAAGGTAGATGTATAGTCAGTTGTGTGCTGACAAGAAAGTTTCCCGCCAAAGATATATATTCTTGTGTACGGCAGCCTCGTTTAAGTTCAAGCCATGACAATCCTTCATCACTAACAAGAACTCCATATAAGATTGTCAGCCCCAGTAAATAATGTCAATATTGTAGATTTGGTGTTATACACCGCTGTATCAAGTCACCGATCTCTATGTACAACCGTTGAAACGCTCCCATAGGGCCAAATTTGCTTACTATACGCCGTACACATCACACAGCTTAACCATCCTTTCCGGCCAACAAGTCCAGGACACCTCGCAACTCCAAATCAGAAAATGATAGTTCCGACCATCGACTCAACGCTCCACCTACCACGGATCCTCTGCCTCCATGGCGGCGGCACCAACGCCCGCATCTTTCGCATGCAATGCCGCGTCCTTGAACGGTTGCTCCGCCCACACTTCCGACTAGTCTTCGCCGAAGCGCCCCTCCCAGCACGCCCAGGCCCCGACGTGACATCCGTATACAAAGACTACGGACCATTCAAAGCATGGCTGCGCGTACGGCCCGAAGACCCAGCCGAGGACGCACACGACATCGTGAGAGCAATCGAGGACTCCCTCGCCGCCGCACGACGCGCAGACGACAGTCAAGGCGCGACGGGAGATTGGGTCGGACTACTTGGTTTCAGTCAGGGGGCCCATCTCGCCGCCGGCATCCTTGCTACACAGCAGGAGCTGCGGCGACGGAATGAGGATGACGAGACTTGGCCGACATTCCGATTCGCCGTGCTGTTGGCGGGACGGGGACCGCTGAGATGGCTTCGTCCGGACCTGTCTATGCCCCGCGGCTTTGTCGATGCTGCGCAGTGTACCACTGGAGGGGAGCCACTGGTTTCCGTGGACTTGTTGCAGGATAATCGTCTACAAATCCCAACTGTGCATGTTCACGGGCTGACGGACCCCGGATTGGAGTTGCATCGAAGGCTTCTTTATCAGTATTGTGATTCTCGCATGGCGACACTTGTAGAATGGAGTGGGAATCATCGTGTGCCGATCAAGTTTCGTGATGCGGCATCTGTGGTTGAGCAGATATTGTGTGTGGCTCAGCAGACGGGTGTGCTAGGTAGAAATTTGTAGGTTTACCGACTGTTAGCTAAGCAGCATGGCGTAGGGAAGTATGATGGGAGATTGTACATATTATAATAGAAATGTTTTATGAAGGGTTAGAACTATACAGTGTCTATCTGAACTTCCTAGTACATACATATTACTGACCATGACTAATTATCGGCTTGTAATGAGAAGCCGATCGACTTGTGGATCACCTCAAAGCTCATATTAAGGGCTAATTAGATGAGAGAAGTCGTAAAACCATACAGCAAAAGCTAAGGTTGGGGCCACCCGATACAGGCTTCGGAATAACTTTATGGATTTAACTTGGAAGCTGACAACAACCGTAAAAGTGGGCCAAGACTATTTGGCTCACCCTACCATACGAACGCCCAGAGCAAGTGGTTATCCGGAATTTGGCAGGTCCCAGAGAACGTTATTCGTGGTTTCTCTGCTTACCTGCATACGAGGGAAGGCTACCCCCGGAGAAACTAAACAGGATATTGTGTGCCATACGCACCGGCTCTATGTTATAAAACTATAATAGTAGCATGTCTGTCAGGCTGTCCAATATATTATAATCAGGAGCAAGATATAGAACAAAGTCTACATAGATAACCTAGGGCGGTTTAAGATATCCCGTTGGTCACGCGGCTTCTCTACTAGAATCACGAGTGATGATCGTCCGTACACAAGAGATGGACACAACCCCACAAATCGCTATCGTGGGCGGTGGCATCGTTGGCCTTGTCCTCGCTGCTGGACTCACGCGGAGAGGCGTCCAAGTCCAGCTTTACGAGCAAGCGCGGAACTTTCGAGAGATTGGTGCCGGCATCGGATTCACGAAGAACACGGTAGGATGTATGGAGAAGATCAACCCGGCTGTCGTGACGGCTTTGCGCTCCGGTGGAGCTGTCAATGTTTCTTTGGACCAGCAGGATCCCAAGTCATATTTGCGGTGGATCGACGGCTATGGCCAGCACCGAGAGGACGACCCCATGTACCAAAAGCCACTCTTAAAGCTTGATGCAGGCATTAAGGGATGGGAGACAGTTCGCCGAGACCAGTTCTTGGAGGATCTGGTCAAAGTCATTCCCGAAGGGGTTGTGCATCTACGGAAGCGACTGGACACGATTGAGGACAACGAAGATGCGGACAAGGTCTACCTGAATTTCACTGATGGAACTAGGGCCGAAGCTGACGCTGGTAAGGTCTGATTCTGTGTCCCCTTTACCCTGTTCCGGTTCGACTAATGGCCATGTCCAGTCATCGCATGCGACGGCATCAAGTCCAGAGCGCGACAACTCCTACTCGGTGTGGATAATCCCGCCTCATTCCCCCAATACACACACAAGGTCGCTTACCGCGCGTTAATTCCCATGGACAAGGTCGTCGCAGCGATCGGCGAATACAAGACCTTCCGCCAACACATGCACGTCGGTCCGAACGCACATCTTATCCATTACCCCGTCAACACGAACACAATAGGAGCCACCGTCGTGGTCTCCGACCCCAATGACTGGCCACAAGACAAGCCTACGACGGCCCGTGCGTCACGCAAGGACGTGTCAGAAGCACTGGCCGGGTGGTGTACTCCGGTCCGCAACCTCGTCGAGCTGTTCCCGGAAGAGCTAGACCAGTGGGCACTCTTCGACCTGTTCGAATACCCAGTGCCAAAGTATAACAAGGGGAGAGTATGTCTGATGGGCGATGCGGCGCATGCATCCAGCCCCCACCACGGTGCCGGAGCTTCTTTCGGTATCGAAGATGCGCTTTGCATGTCCACGTTGATGTCCGAGCTTATTATGGATCTCCGGGAGGTCGGACATCCAAAGCGACTGCATTGCGCACTGCGTTCGAGACATACGACAAGATCCGTAGGACAAGAACGCAATGGCTGGTCAACAGCAGTCGACGCGTGTGCGATCTCTTCCAGCAACCGGAGTGGGCTAACCCGGCCAAGCGGGTCAAGACCGAGTCGTGTTTCGAAGAGGTCAAGGATCGCTCATTCAAGATATGGCATTTTGACTCTGCTGCTATGGTTGATGATACGATTCGCGAATACAGGGAGAGCATGCATTTGTCGACGAAGACGAAGAGCGTTGATGGCAACAATGGAGCGAGCGTGACTAATGGTACCAACCCGGCGTAGTACTTTTGTTTTTTGGAGTCTTATACTTCATTTCCCAATTCTAAGCATGTCTATAATATCAAGACAAAGGCTACATATCATCCAATTAGTATGTAGTTTACAGCTCATGAACCCAAGTAAGTAATTCAATCCTCCGAAAGATAAACAGTGAAAGAAAACACATTAATCACTTCACAAACACGCCCTGACTCCAATAACACACGAAAGCCATGACATCTAATTACAACTCAAGACCTATTTCTCTTCCAACCACAGCGCTTTAACGTCGCGTTTGACCCCCTACCCAAACCCTTAATTTCCTTCTTCAGCGCCTTCCTCTCCTCCTTGGAATATTGGCCGTTCTTCTTGGCCGCTTTCACCTCACGGACATACCCCGTCAAGAGTCCCGAAGCGGTTTCCACCGCACATTTGGTGCACTGGCGCTCATCCGCAATATCATTGAGAGCCACCGTTAGTGCCTGCAGGATCTCTTTGGTTTGGGGCTGTTGAAGCTGACGGTCTAGATGAGGCGTCTGGGACGGCCCATGCACGGTGCAGGATGCCCTAGATGTCTTGTTACGGTTTGTAGATATAAACATGTGGAGGCCTTGGCTTACCCTTGCTTCTCGGAGTAGACGGACGAGGCTACGGAGACGTGGGCTTCCGACTTTTCGTCGCCTTGGAAAACGGTCTTCTGGGTCATTGTGGATTGTTTGGGTTGGAATGGTCTGAAATAATAGATACTTGATAATGGAACTGTTCAGAGTCTTGTGGATGTCTTCTGATAAATTGCAAGAACGCAGAGTAGGGCTTGGTTTATATGTACGAGATGGGTCTGTCGAAAAGGGTAAATATCCCGATCTCGGACATAAGGGCTCGGCCGACCCCTTCGGAGTTTCTTTTCGGTCAGCGTCACCTTAGGCCTACCAGATACCAGACACACCTTCAGTATCTGTCAGGCCGAGACGCTACCTAGCTGCCTATCCTAGACTCATGATGTATGGTGCTCAATATTTGCCATCGGGGATAGCCCTCGGGCAATTCCTCGGAGGTTTAGTAGTACTAGGTCACTACTAACTACGTGAAGTGGAGGGAAGTGAGTAACTACTAGTGACGAAGGTTGTTGTTGCTAATATGACATTCATGATCATGTACTCCAGCCGGCAGTATATAGTGCAAACAGGCAGTGTAGCTTCAGTCTGGCATTCTGGCAAGATGTTGCTGGAAAGTAGAATTTTGTACAAGATATATACGGTCGTCAAGAATAATCACTGATACATAATAGTCTCAGAAGCCTATAGCTGCAGGCACAATCTCCGCATTACGCTGGATCTCAAGCTCCAGCATCCTGGCAAGGTTATTAACAGGCACCATATCACTCAAGGCGGCAGAAATGGCCTTGAACTGCGCCGGGAGCTTGTGGTTGAACGCCTTGCATGAGCGCGAAAGCTCCGCACAGATGAATAGCGCGATCGGTGTGAACGGGTGAATCTAACATTCCGATCAGAAATGGCTGAAAACACTTGGGAGGCTAGTCTTGCCTTGAAAGACCCTATTTGGGACAGCTTTTGTGCCTGGCTGAGCACTCGTTCCGTCGCAATAGCAGCCTTGGTCTCGTAGCTTCCGTACATGTCCTGGTACATTTCTGCGGCTTCAGGCACCGAGTTCAAGGCAGTGAAGAGTACCAGAACTGCGACTTGAGCTAACATGTCGACGAAGATGGATGTGGGGTCAGACGATGAGAAATCGGCAGCGGGACTAGACAATGTCGTCTGGCTCTCTTGACTCAAGATGATGTCCAGTGCTCGATGGCGGACGATACATTCCTGGGATGTAGGGTCCATGATACGTTCCACGTTACATTGGTTTCTGTGGGAGAGGCAGCGTGCGAGAATGGTAAGCATGACGATCGATTTCGCGTAGGGCGATACCTGTTGGTCGGCTTTTCTCGCCATGGCCGGGGCCAGATATTCGGTCGTAACAGCCTGTTGATGTCGGAATGCCGTTTCTGGGGCGGGAAGGCGGGTGAGGATCTACGTACAGCAGTCAGTTATTCGTGCGCTACGTTGGTTACCTTCCTGGATGATGAAGCTAGAGGCTATCACTTGCCATTTGATCGTTTATGGCCAGCGGAAGCCCGTTGACGAGGTTCGCATATCGATCGAGCGTGTATGCTGTCCAGAATGTTCTCCGTCTCTCCTCGGTCTCCACCCAGGAGAGACTGGATGTCTGCCAGGTATTCGGGTTGTCGATCTGATCGAGTTTCAAGAGATGGACGAGATGAAAGCAGCGACCAGCGCTAATCCATCCCTTGCTGGGGTTACTTTTTAGAATCTCATAGAGGACCAGAAGCAGCCGCGCCTGCACCACTTCGATGGGAAGAGCCTCGTTCGGCATGTGTTGCTCCCACACGTCCAGTAAGCAGCAGGCGTGAGTGTATAAGAGCGGTAGGACACCCTGGAACTGACTCCCCATCGACGCGGCCAGCGTTCGCATGGCATATTGTAAGGCGGTTAAGGGCTCTCTTGCGTCTGGCTCGTTGGCTGCCCGCGCATAGTACCGCTGCTGATGGATGATGGGAGCAAAAGGGTAAGCGCGGTCGAAGAAAAGGTCGTCTCTGTGGCCGACAGTTAGTTCATTTCTGCCTTTCTGAAAGTTTTACATGTGCTATAATCCTACAGATCTGCGCGCTCTAAGGCTGACAGCTGGACGGGAAGCTGAATGGGCGTTGTCATTGCCTGGGAGCCCAGTTCTAGTGGGCTTATGCTAGCGTCAATCGGACACGCAGATGACACCGACTTAGGTATATTGCTTGCTGGGGTTAGCGCTGGGGATTGGTATGTACACTCCGGGAAGGGTTCAATATGTTTGCACCATTCGCTTTCCAATTCCAAAGAAGGGATTACCGATGGCCATTTGAGGAGTCCGATTGACTGCGGGTCCAAAAGGAAGTCATCCGTTGAGTCCTGCGAATGTGCGACGCTGGCTTTTTCAATTTCGCCAATATTGACACTTTCCGATTGATCTACCTCCAATACATGTTGGGTAGATGTTGAACTTTGTCGTCTGCTCTGTTGGCCCTCGGAGTTCTCATATAACTGGCGCTCGAGCGATGCTGCACTTCTGATTAGTAGAAAGCTCTCTTCAACAAGTTCACACATGCTTGTGGCCCACCTATGCGCGATCTGAGGATATTGACATGACCCTTCCTCGGGCCTCGAGGTCGCCGCGCCGTATTTGTAATGCATGGTACACCCAGATTGCGACAGGTGCTGCATTGCGGCTGGCTCATATCGCACTTGAGTTTACGTGAACGACATTCTTCGCAGGCAAGGCCTTTATTCTGCCGGCGACTCTTTGTCGGTTCTGCTGTGACGTCGCCCATCGGGACTTGTGGTCGGAGTGATGGCGCTTTCATTAGGGCTGGGTTCGACAGGGATCTCACGTCAATTTCAATCTAAAAGAAGACCTGCGTACGGCGACGTCTCTAACAACGACAAATAAGGCGTGCCAAGTTGCCTCCAAAGCTTGTCATATCTGACCAGCGTAAGACAAGCAATTTTGATGGAATCCTCACACAATTGCTTTCCCTAGCTAGAATCCGTGCTGGTCATTCTGGGAAAGAAGTGGCCCTGTATGTCTATATAATATCTAGAAGCGCGGTGAAAGGACAATTAATCGAATATGAAATCCAGACTATATATCGTCAGTATCTCTATATCTACTTCTTACTACGGCAGTGGATCATATCATCCTAAGTTCGAGGCTGAAGATAATGTAACGGGCCTAATTTTCAGGCCCTGGCAGCAAAACCGCCACGTGGGGACAGATTGCCCCCCGGAAATCCCGAGATTACCAAAATCCATCGTATGTGATTGACAAAGCTATCTCGATCTTAATTGCATGTCTTAATGTTTGTCACATTTCATGCTACACCAATCTTGACTACAACAACCTATCTCAAAATGGCCAAACCGTGAGGCCACGCCAAGAACCTACTAAACCACCGAGGACCCGATTACAATCATATGAGAATTACGTATCCATTATCTGTCGGTAACTGGGTCCCTGACGTTTCTGCCTAATGCCAATATACGAAGTACGTACATGGACACAAGATCCCCCATATCCACGCGAAGGGCTGAGTGGATCCCTCCGCGTGGCCGGATAAGTTGCTTCGCCAAACACCAATTGCAGTGGTGGCCTGATCCAACCTCACGAACGACATCAGCGCTACACCTGCTTGGTCAAAGCGTCTTGGCGCAGATTCATTCTTTGGCTTGTCTTTCTGGCGAATGGGAGCACTGTTGGACAATACTTGCATGCGCGAATTGCCTTTTGTAGTAAGGATTGGCGGGCTGTCAGCGCTAATGGACTCGGCATTGGGATATGCTCCACTTCTGGGAGTTGGATTTTATCCGCTGTCAAGGACGAATCGTAATCATAATGACATTATCTTGGATACTATGCTTGGAGTTGTGCAGGAACTAATGTGTTCTGTGTCAGGGTCGATAAGGACTATTGAATATTACCACGTGGTTAAGCTATTGAAACTGGTTCTGAGGAGTGCATGGCCGGTCCTCTTAACGATAGTATCAACGTCAAGGTCTATTACGGAATGGGTAGCACATTTAACTTGACCTTTCTCTTGATGCTTGGGATTGAGCAGAAGCCTACTATGCTTATTGAACCTAGTGGTAGTGGCGTCATCTTGGTATAAGGCTCCGGACACAAGCCCCGTACCACATACACAACGTTCATCCATACTCACCAAAGCTCACAGTAGGTGACCGGGTGCAGGGTTACACCCTGGAAGCTATTCTTATGGAAGACTTGCAAGACACATAAATGTATCTTGATCATGCTGGTGATGTTGAGTCTTCGGTTGGCTGCCAGCTTGAGAAAACAGAAACCTACAATTTCCACTGCTCTATGCCCTCCACATGTAGTAGGCAGTGCTAAATTGATATCTGGTCCTTCAGGTCCCACCAAACGCATCATAGACGAGAGTTCGCATACAAATTCCCAAACGGGTATCCGGATGCGAAGTCATATCAGCCGTATACTATTGATGAAACACCCGTTAGCGTGTCAAACTATAATGGAACCTACCGAGACCTATCCTCATGTAGCCATGAAGAACTCGGCTGGTTTACACAGTTCCAGCCTCACACAAACGATAGTAGTCTCTACCCAGACCCTGCCAGCTGCTTCCTCGGCGCTTTCCCCCCCTTTCGCGGCGACGGGTTGTCACCACCGCCTCTAAACACCCCATCCCCATCAACCAAGCTCCGCAGCTCCTGCACACCAGTCGCAGCAACAGCCACAGCCACAGCTTTGGTATTGACATACTCCGCCGCAAGCCGTACACTCTGCATTGGATCCCCATGAAGACTCTGCACTAATAACAGTGATTCATCCTCGACAGTCCTCCCATCTGCAACCAGAAACACAGATTCATCCACAACAGTCCCCATGGCGTATTCACGCAGGAACCGGACCACATCATCCAATTCCCACCCATTGAATGGTGACTTGAACGCAGAATCAACCGGGGGATACGTCACAGCATCACGTGTGTATCTGCGCAGTGCCGTCCCAGTGCTTTCTACAAGCAGCAGCGTTGGGGGTGAATTGATGTCAATGGCGTGTGCGTAGGCTTTTGTGAGGATTGAGGTGAGCATCTGGGGTTGTTTAGTCAGGGTTATTACTGTGTATATTTCATGGAAGGTTGGGCGGCCTTATATTCCGTACTTGGGGAGGGATGTCGTGAAGACAGAATATGGGGATGAGGGATTCGCTCATTTGGGTTTATGGGAATCGTTTGATTCGTGTATAGAGAGAGAGTTCGGGAATAGTTTGGTCCACTGGGGATTGAATTTAGTACGGGTTCGTGCTCAAGCCGTGGCTGTTGGGAGTATGGAGACAGACAGGTCCAAAGTAGGGTCAGGTGGGGAGTAGAGTTAAGCCAAGCCCAGTTTAACTCGAAGCCACATGGGGCAAAACGTCCGGGACACGGGTACTGTGTAATAAACGAAATTACATACGCCAGCTTCACAACTAGTAGGGGTGAACGGATGAAACGAACTACTTACACGGGTCTTTGGACACTCCGTGACACGAGCTGAGCAGCTTTTGTTTTTAGGTAATATTGCCACTCAAAGTCTGGGCAAAGCTCCGATGCGCAAGCGACATGGATGGTGTGTGAAACAGTGGTTTGGAGGGGGCCAATCGAGCTTATGTTGACGCGTTGGGAGTCGAAGAGTTAGGGCCAGCTGACACGGAACAAAGATATCCCTTCGGGTTGGCGCGCTCGACCCGTGCCATGAGACCGCTAGACTGTTCTCGGTCTAGTCTGTGACGCTGGGGCTGTATTGGGAGGCGTAATTGTGTATCTCAATTTCTCGCTCTTGGGCTTTGTCTTCTTTTTTTTTTTCCTTTTTTTGGTTTTTTCATTTGTGTTTCCTGTGGTAAACCGGTGGAGTTCTTTGTCGCAATGGGCTCACAGAGAGTAAAAGCTTTCGGTTAAAATTGCCCAAGACAAAACTTAGATACACATGCGTGAATTTTTCTATTTCTAGTACTCTGTAGATAGGGCTTTCCTTCGGATACGGGCACCATGGTTGTCGCTGGTCGCGTTGCGCACGGGTGTGGGCTTGGGTACGGGCGGTGGCATGGGCGTTGGGATACTGGCAACTCGTCGAGACCGGCTTACTGAATCTGTGGGCAAGTCGTACATCTAAATTGGCGTCGGATTCCTGGTCGCAAGGGAGTGGAAATCGGGCTGGTTGCTGCATTCAGGGCAAGAGTACTGAGCTTCCGGGCGATATCGTTCGTAGAGGGTATCTTTTCGTTAGCAATGGGGGGTACAAGGGTCGCAATGGTCGCAATGGTCGCAGGGGTCGCAATCGAAAGGAATAGGGCCAGTGAGGTACAGGGACACCATCACTTAGTTGTCGCGCTCGGGGTCTGCTCTGTTCTTTCTCCGTCGGATACCAACTAAGCCGATCATCTCGGACCAGAAGCCCACTGGTGGGGTGGTTATGCTATTCTCATAGGCGTCAATGGCGGGTCGCTCCCAGACGAGGTCCACCTCGTGAGGTCGGACATAGCGGGTCTTCTTGACGACCTTCCAGAAGATAAACAGGCAGGGTGCTACCAACTGCATCGTGTAGTTGGAGAAGAAGTTGGACACGCTCCATGGCGTGAAGGAGCTATATCCGTAGAAAATGATCACGAAACAGTGAACCGTTAGTGCGATGTAGGCGCCATAGGGCTGGAACCAGCCATAGTAGGGCATCTTCTTGCGGTCCACGCCTTGGGCTTTGCAGGCCCGGTAGTAGTTGATGAACGTGACGGACATGCAGAAATAGTTGATCAGACCACCACCAGTGACGAGGCTGACGAACCAGGTAATGGCCTGGGCGGAGCCACTGCCGACCTGGAGGAAGGAGAGGAAGGGGAAAAGCATCACCACACAGAAGCAATACACCGGCACGCCGGATTTGTTGCAGTAGCGCAAGATACGAGGAGCGCGGCCCTCCAGAGCCAAACTGTAGAGGGATCGCGTGGCGCAATAGGTATACGTATTGCCGGCGGAAAAGATGGAGGTGAAGATCAACGCGTTGACAATATGCGGCAGCACACTGACACCGAGGTTCTCCATCGCAATCACATACGGCGAGGCGGCCGCTGTGCTGCTGTCACCGCTGCCAAAGTAGATTTCAACGAGGGCTGGGTCATTGTAGGCAACCACGATTGAAACAGCGAGTGCACCGATAATGAAGAAGATACAGAATCGATAATACACAGTCTTAAAGGCTGACTTGATGTAAACACTCGGGCGCTGAGCCTCGGCGGCCACCATAGAGATATACTCGGGCCCGACAACGGTAAAGCTCGCGCTCCACAGAGCGGCAAGAAACCCTTCAAAACGACCAAGGTCGCCCTTGGTATGGAACTCAGCGAAAGCACCAGGGTTGTTCCAATGGCGAAAGCATAGGCGTCGCCTTGCGGATTACCGCCGACCATCGTAACGAAGGTGAAGGCGAAGAGAATAAAAATCAGAACAAGCTTGCCTCCGGATAGCCAGAATTCTGCCTCTCCGTAGAATTTAACCGCAAGGATGTTCAACGTGCTATATAAATTCATCTGTCAGTATATGGTTCTAATAGGTCTTTCACTCGCCTTAATGCAGCACTCAGGGATGTATGAGTGCCGAGCGTAATGACAGGACACCGTCCAATAGCAGGATTAGATCGACAAAAGTGGTCCTTACGCATAGCAAATAATAACAGCCGCACAGATACCGGCCGTGGGGCCAGGTTCCGTGACAGTCTCATTCCAGAAAGACATGACCAGGCTGAGCGCCGTGATCTCAAATGGAATCAGGAAAGCTTCATAGAAGAAGAAATTCCACCCAGCAAGAAATCCAAGAGCGTCGTCCACCCAGTAACCAGCGAGGCGGATGAAGCCCCCCGACACCGGCATATATGTATTCATTTCGGCGATCGAGTTATTGACCAGTCCGAGGATGCAGGAATAAAGCGTGTAGGCAATAAACAGGCTGCCAGGGCCACCCTTAGCGAGACCACCGCCAATGCTAATGAACAGGGCCGTGCCAATTGAGCCACCAGCAGCGATCAGCTGGATCTGACGGTTACCGAGCCGGCGATGCAGGGTCCCCATGCTCTCCCCTTCATGGATACTACCACCATCCCCCGACGTGGCGGGTTCAATCTGTGTGGTTTTTTCCTCGTTGAGCCCCATTTTGGCGTTTGCGATGCCAACAGAGCAAGGAGGTGAGGTTTAACGTATTCGGAGCGAAATCCGGGAGGTTAATTCAAAAGATAAGAAAAAAGAGATAAGACAGGAGCAGGAAAGAGAATTGGCATAGGGTATTGGATTGGGATAAGACAAGAGATGCGGGGGAATGAGCGAGCATAATCAAAGAAAGTTGACGTGACTCTCTCTCAGCGTGCCCTATTCAACTGGTGTCGTACAGAAGGAGAATTCTTGTTCGCAGTCAACAAGAGTGGGCGATGCTGCGATATTTAATCTTAACACGACGCTAGGCAGTCCTCGTTATTTTATTTTATTTTATTTTATTTTCCCGGGTCCTGCAGCTAAGCAATGACGCAGCGTATGCAGTTTACCGGTGGTATCTAAGGAAGGTTATCTTGGCCATTGACCGATCTCTCCAGCCAAGCCCTAAGGCCACCCCTACCACTCGACGGCCGTCCCTCTCACACCCTGCATGTTACATTTCCATCCTGGCTTATGCCCCATTATTCACAATTCCAGTAACTGGTCACACCCCTACCATTATCCAGGGATCTGTGAGCGCAACAAGAAACGCCAGCCGTAGGCGGGCCAGTCAAAGCCGTTGATTGCCCCGTGGCCAAGCCGCTTATCGTGTCTGAGAGCCGAACGATCCAAACTTCCAATGCTAGCGTAAAAGAAAGAGTTACTCCGTGCTATCTGAAAACGCCAAAGGGTCCCAGCCAATGGTGATATCATGATTTAAGATTTTCACCTCGACGGGACAAATAGCCTCGAATAGGTAAATTGATACGTATCTGTAGAAGGTTTACCAGACTGATAGAGAATAAGTTCGAAGGACAGGCTTTCCTCCAAACTTCCAAATATTCCACAAGATAGACACACTGAGTTCCTGGTAATATAACTAACCCAAGAAAGGGAACCCGTGCCAGGGGCCGGTAAATTGGATACACAGACTGGGTGGATGGACCAAGGAAGCAACGTAATTTCGGGAGGTTGAAAGATGGACCCATATTTATCCTATCCAATAACATTGTTTCTTGATTGAGCGATAGTGCACTAGCAATACGAGAGGGTGTGGGGGAGAAGAAAGAACAGAAAAAAATAAAAACGCAAAAA